GCGATCATCAGCGAAGGCAGTTATGAGCCGTGCGAACGCATTATCCGTGCTCGTCTGGGTTCGACCACGCGCCACGTAGATGCGAGTGAATGCAGCAAGGGGCGATTCCATTGGCGACCCAGTTTGTCCAGCGCATGCAAACCATGCGCCACCTGACCCCGGACAACCAAGTCCGCGTTCGCGAATTCCCCACAGGCGCGAAGGGCGTCAAAGACGGCGCAAGATTGCCATTCTTTTTCTGTCGGGTCGAGAGGCCGACGAGCTTCGCCAAAAAAGAATTAATGACGCAGGGGGCTACCTTGCAATTGCCTTCGCGCGCAGTTCAAGACGAAAAAAGATCAGCCAAGATTTTTCGAGAAAAAGAAAAAATTGAGAAAATAAGCTCTCCTGGCGCCCTCAAAACAACTCAAAGTTACTTTGTCGCCAATGCCCCCCGCGACCCCCTGGTCTCGAAATGAGGACTTGGGGGCGCCTTGCAGGGATTTCCCCGAATCGATGTCAACAATTGAACGCCGAGGCGGCGTCGCAATCCGCATCGACGCGCGGTCAATGGACACCCCCGTCGGCATGGGCAGCAAGGGCGATGCGAGCTCGGGTCAGAGCACAGCATCGCGCCACGATTAGCGGACAGTCTGCATGCCGACACCCAACCCCAATGCAAAGAAGCTGACGTCGTCGAGGCATGTGGCCCCTGCGTAAGTTGGCGCGCCGTGCAGCTCAACTTTAGCGAGTGGCTGCGCAGCGCCCGATCGACCTGTCCAACTTACACATGATGGCCATCCGTGTCCCTCTTTATGCTCCCCTTTCCCGCAACCGCCGCACAGGGACGAATTGTGAGCACCGGTTGCGCGCCAGCCAGATTTGCCCGCGGCGAATGGCGGCGCCAAAGCCGCCAGAAATGCCGCTGTCAAAAGCGTCGTTCCATGCGCGTAAATTCTGAACAGGGTCGCGACCGCGACGCACGCGGGGTTGCCAAACTGAGGCAACCAGTGGCCCGTGGACAAGGCGCAGCCGCACAAAATTACCATTTCCCCAAACCTACGAAACCGCCAATGGATACGAACAAAGAATTTTCCAACGCGCGGGCGACCACTTCTTCTTCCTTTTTTTCGGCTTGTCCTGCTTGCTAATGAATTTGACGCAAAGCCCGAGCACCCATCCTCGCGTTGGTATCTTGGCGGGCCCTTAGCCCAGCAACGGCCGTTGATTCCGGGAATACCACATTTGAGTATTGAAAACCGCTAGAAGCATGGATCGAGTCTTGAACGGCGTCGTTTGGCAACACTTTAAGATTTTGTAGGGCCGCAGCAGTCGCCCCCCCCGTATCAGCCACCCCCATATGCAAACCAAAGACGCCCCTCCTTCCAGGCAGCTCCCCTGGGCGTTTTTTTTGGGATGGGCCAGCGGGGATTTTTTGTCGCGACCGCAGGCGAAGGCGCCGGCGGCGTCACATACTAGCGGGGATACTTTTTTGGTCGCGTCCGCAAGCGAAGGCGCAAGCGGAGTCAGGAGCGCTACGGGTCACGACAGCGGCCTAATTAGCAGCTAGACGCGCCGCAAGCCGGCCGGCCCACTCAGACAGCAGCGGCAGACTGCGCGGGAGGAGCTGCAAGCTGGGGGCGTCCAGGGTGCTCGAGCACTTGCAACACGGCAAAATGCGGGTGAATTCGAGAGGTGCCGAGTGGCAAGACCCGAAGGAGCATGAGGACAATAGCTGTGGGCGGTGCGTCCAGCATGCCGTCGGAGTGTCCAGACGTTGTAAGCGATGGGCCGTCGCCAGTGGGGCGCCAAGCCCAGGCCGCGCCAACGGCGTGTGCGAGCCAGCTGAGCTGCTCCGCCGAGGAACGTCGAATGCCAGACCGGGGGTGGGACGGGCTTGGGGGGCGGCCGAGGCTGCGAAGGCTGATCCACTCGAAGAGGGCTGCCCTCCAGGGGCCGTCAACCCGCGCAACATGAGGAACCACCGAACCTGCAGGGGGCCATCCACGCACGGCTGCGCGGGCGCCGGCTGAAGCGCTGCGTGAGGCCAAGCTGGTGGGAAAAAACATCGCCAGCGTGGTGGGGCGCCCAAGGTGGAACTGCACGGCAGCAGCCGCTTGATGTACGCCGAAGGCCACCGTGGGACTGCCTTATCCGCCGAATGCGTCATTCCCCGCAGGGATCCAGGGTCTCCGTCGAATCCGTCATTCCACGCGGGCGTCCAGGGTCGCAGCTAACCGCCGCTGAAGGTGACGTAAAGTTACCGCTGCCAGCGGGGGTCCTGGGCAGCCCTGGGTGTGGTGACGAAAGCCTCCGAGACCAGGATACACGCCTGGCGGCAACCCAGCCTGAGGGAGACCCGGAGGGTGGGGCAGTGGGGACAGACAACACCGACCCCCCACGCGGAGGGGCTCCCAAGGGGCATCCGGCGAGGGTGGGGCGCAGGGAAGCGACCACCCCGAGGTCCAAGGGCAGGGGACGTGGCCTGAGCCCGGCCCGAGAGGGACCCGAGGAGAGAGACCAGCGGGGATACGCGAAGCGTCAACTATGTCGACGGGAACCCAACCGTGACCACGTGGAGCATCCCAGAGGCCACAGAAAGGAGCAACAACGCTCAAAACCATCAAACCTCCAAATTCGAACCTTCTCCTCCTCCTTCTCCTCCTCCTGCTCCTCTTTCTTTTCTCCTCCTCATGCTCCTCCTCCCTCACTCTGCTTCTCCCTCCTGGCTCCGCGCTTCGCCCTCCTGCTCGTCGTCGTCGTCGTTCGCCTCCTCCTCCCTTTCTTCTTCCTCCTCCTCCTCCTCCTCCTCCCACTCCTCCTCCCGCTCCCCCTTCAACTCCCAACTCCCCCTTCCCCATCCCCATCCTCATCCTTCTCCGTCTCCTCCATCTTTCTTTCGGACTGCCGCTGGCCCTACCGGGCGCGTGAAAGGAAAATGTGCGTGGTTCCTGCCATGACACTGCGTCGAGCTCATAGCGACCCCGGGGGCCTGTGCCTGGGTCGAGGGACGTTTCTGCGATTACAGACGCACAAGAATACTGAATCAACCAGCTGGCAAAGAGGAGGAGGAGAAGGAGGGACAGGCAATCAACATGGACAAAAAAAATATGCTACAATGGATCACACAACTATGGCGAGATACTTGCAAAATGCACATAACGCTGCGTCTAAAGCTAACGTCTCCGCTTCGAACGCAGACCGGATGTTCGTCACCACCTCCCCCTTCAGCGCTAGCTCCTCGTAGTGGACTTCGCGCCCGTCAACGCCCTGAGCCCCATAGATTGCATAGCCGATCCCCGCCAATCGGTGACTATCAGAATGCAGACCGCGAAAGCCTCCATCCACGTATATCTTAATAGCCCCACTGGAAACGTATGTGTGCAGTGCCTCCGGGCTCTCCCAGTGGAGATTTTGACGCGCGTCCATCGCTGCGTTCACGAGGTAGTCGGGCACTGTGTTCATGTCCCTGGGGGCCCAATTGACGTAGGAATCGATATCCCGTCTTGGATTCCACCCAGCCCGTTCCAACGCGAACAACTTGGCGCAGATCCTCCTGAACACCAACTCGAGTTCTGGAGCTCGTAATACCGAGTGCCCGTTGATGACGTCAGCTACCCCCAAGCAGTCGACCTGGATCCAGAGGCGCTTGCTCCACGAATCCCACTTGAGGTCCATAGGGTGGGGAGGCAATGCAGGTCTAACCTGACCTGTATTCCTCTCCACCTCTGGTCGTCGTTGTCCTCCTCCTCCTCGCCCTCCTCCTCCTTCCCCCCCATTCCTTTTCCTTATGAGTAACTCCTCCCTGTCGCACCCCGAAGCCGGTTGAAAATGTGGGCCGGGCGTTTCGCCTGAGACTTCCTCACTATTTCTGATCCCGAAGCTGAGAAGCTGGCACCAGTTTCACATTTGGAGGGCGGGCCGCTTCCAAAATGTGGCGCTCGCATTAGCGCCGCGCATACTCGTCTTTAACAACTTGAAAGCGTTTCACGGATGGAGGGCGGACCGCTTCCCAAATGTGGCTCTCGCCTGGGCGCCGCGCGTATTCGTCTGAAGCATTTGCAGTCGTTGAGGGCGGCTCCTTTTCAAATGTGGCTCTCGCCTCAGCGCGGCGCACATTCGTTTAAACACACTAAAAGAGTTCAACGGATTCTCATGGCAAACGAACCAGACGTGTTTTGGAACGATTCAGGATTGTCAAGGCGCAAACGTTGATTCGCAGAGTTGAAGTCCCAAGAACGATGTTCCGGCACGATTCAGGATTGTCAAGACGCAGCCGTGGCGTTGGAGTCTGACGAAGGTCTGTTGGCACGCGTCAGGATCTTCAAACAATTATCTCCCAACGGAGCGCTTCCCCAATGGAAATGAATCCTTGTAGGGGCCCGTAAAGACGCAGCTTGGAGGGAGGGTTTATTTCAGAATCGCTAATGAGCCTTGGGTTCACACTGGTCCTGCTCCTCCTCTTCATCCCCCTCGTCCCCCTTTCTCCTCCTCTCTCCCCTCTCCCTTCCTCCTCTCTCCCTTCCTTCTCCCCCTCCCCCTCCCCGCCCTCTTTGCTTCCTCCCCTTCCTTCCCCTCCTTTCCCTCCCTCCCTCTCCCTACTCCTCCTCCTCCTGCTCCTCCTCCTCCTCCTCCTCATCCTTCTTCTCCTCCTCCTCCTCCTCCTTTTCCTCCTCCTCCTCCTCTCTCCTCCTCCTCCTTCTCTCCTCCTCCTCCTCCTCGTCCTCGTCTCCTCCTCGTCCTCGTCCTCGTCTCGTCTCGTCCTCGTCCTCGTCGTCCTCGTCCTCGTCCCTCGTCCTCGTCCTCGTCCTCGTCCTCGTCCTCGTCCTCGTCCTCGTCCTCGTCCTCTCCCTCGTCCTCGTCCTCCTCCTCCCTCCTCCTCCCTCCTCCCCTCCTCCTCCTCCTCCTCCTCCTCCTCCTCCTCCTCCTCCTCCTCCTCCTCCTCCTCCTCCTCCCCTCTTCCCTCCACCCCGCCCACCCGCCGCGGCCGCGCAGGCGACATACCCGGCCGAGCCCCCCGCGCTGCCGCGCCGGCGCGGCGCCGCCGTGCCTGCCGCCTTCGCGGCACTGTCGTCGTCGTCGTCGTCGTCGTCGTCGTCGTCGTCGTCGTCGTCGTCGTCGTCTTCGTCTTCTTCGTCGTCGTCGTCGTCGTCGTCGTCGTCTTCGTCTTCATCGTCTTCGTCGTCGTCGTCGTCGTTGTCGTCCGCGTCTGCGTCTTCGTCTTCGTCGTCGTCTTCGTCGTCGTCGTCGTCGTCGTCGTCCACGTCGTCGTCGGCGTCCGCGTCCATGTTCGTCGTCGGGAGGACAAAGGAAGAGGAGAGGGGGAGGATTGGGTGGGGGGGGGGGAGAAGGCTGAGTATTGAGGCTCTACTAAAAGGAGGATAATACTGCACCAGCATGAGCCTTCGACGGCCCGCTCGGATGTCTTGGAACTGCGCTGGACCCCCCTGCCTGGCGCGCGGAGCGCGCCAGGGGCGGCGCCGGAGGCGCCGCCAGGGGGGCCAGAGCATATCTAAGAAATCTGCGCGGGCCGTCGAAAATTTTGTTGATGCCAGTTTTTGTGCCTCGAACTGCGGAGGACGAGACACGGGCCAGCGCTCAGCGCAGGCGGCATACAGGCACCGCGCGTGCATAGAGCAACAATCGATGACTTGGCCAAGCCTGACGGCCATATACCCTTTTGCAGCAAGCTCCTTCCGGCAGGCTCTCTCGGCGAGAGCAGCCAGTCTGGACTCGAGAGACGGGCCCTCGGGGTGCGCACGAGCGGCGCCCAAGGTCTCAAGCAAAGGGTGCCGCACTGCACTGTTCACTGCTTGCTGAGGGGGAGGATGGGTAGGATGGTGAGGGGGAGGGGGCGGGGGAGGAGGAGGAGGACGACGAGGGCGGCACACGGAGGGAGCAGGGGGAGGAGGAGGGTGAGGACGAGGGTGAGGGAGGCGGAAGTGTCGGAGGAGGCCGACGACGCGGAGACGGAGCATGAGGAGGTTAGTAATGCCATCGCGAATACGACGATTACGACGACGCTGACGTTCGCGACGACGCCATCGTCGACGACGAGGACGACGCCGACGACGAAGACGTCGCCGCCGACGCCGACGACGTTGGCGACCGCGGGCCGCCTTGTCTGACGCCCGCTCGCCTGCTCTTCGACTCGGCCGCCAGCCTCGCTTCGGAGGCCGGCTGCTGCTCGACGACCAGCGCCGCCCCGCCGGGAGCGGCCTGCTGTGGGGAGGGGGGGGGACACGACGCGATACCAACGCAATCTTTCGGGAACCGTTCCTGGCTTCGGATGTTTTCTTGAACGGCCAGGGCCGGGCCGCGAGGGCCTTCGGAAGCTTGCTCCAGCGGCCTCGATCGTCATCCACGGACGACGGACATCACGATGGCCTGGCTTCGAAGGAGGAGCAGGAGGACGGGGAGGAGGAGTAGGGGGAGGAGGAGGAGGAGGAGGAGGAGGAGGAGGAGGAGGAGGAGGCTTCGAAGGTCTTTGGCCTCGAAGGGCTTCGGGCGTTTCCGCAGGTCCCCGTCGCGGTGGCTGGGCGCGACGCGGGAAACCGGCCAGGATGGACGGGGACCGATCTTGACTGGAGCTTGCTGGTGCAGAAGCAGTGCAAGCTCACGACCGAGGAGGAGGAGGAGGAGGAGGAGGAGGAGAAGGAGGAGGCGAAGGAGGAGGAGGAGCAAAGCAGTGCAAGCTCGCGAACGAGGATCGTGTCAATGTCCATGCCCTCGCGGTCCGAACACCGAAATGCGATCGCGTGGATATGCACGACCTGGATCGCTTCCGCGCGGTCTATCCGTGCAAGGCTGCTCGGTATCCACGGGGTTGTGGCCGAGGAGTCCGGACCGCGAGGCCTTGGATATGGACATGTTCCCAGCCCTGGATCTGTCTCGTGCGCCAGCGTACAGGTCGGCACGGAGAAGCAACAATCAACCGGATACGGACTCCACATCGTGGCTTAACCGAAGAAGAGCAAATGCTCTGTGGAGTCTGCGGTGGGGGGGGAGCGGAGGCGGGGATGGGTTGGGCGAGAGGAAGGACGTCGACGATGCTCGCTCGATCGTCAACACATAGTCGACGATAGAATTTCGATGTAGGACCGCGGTCGTTTTCGAATGTGAAGCGTGTAGAGACGTGTTTCGCTTGACGGCGAGGATGAAGGCGAGGAGGGTCCCGAGGAGAAGAGCAGGCGGATGAGGCGAGGGAGGACGGGGGGGCGCCAGGATGAGCAGAAAGAGCACAGAAGTGGCGAGGACAAAGACGATGACCAGGAGAAGCGATGAACAAGAAGAGGGAGGAGGTGGGGAGTGACGAGGTCCATCAGGATGAGCATTAGGAGCGAGGGCGAGGAGCGAGGAGAACGATAAGGAAAACTACAAGAGGATGAGGAGCGTGTAGAGATGAAGGCGATACTGATAAAGACGAGAAGGAGGATCCGTGGCTCTTCACTCCTGGATAGACATCCGAAAGACTCACATGGGAGACACATGCCGCCGAGGGAGTCGTCGCATCTTTGTGGTCGTCCTCCCCCAGCAGACCTCCGACAGGCAACTCTGCTCGCCCTAAGTGCTTCGCGTAGAAATTTACATAGATGAGGCCACTCTGCGTACGCCCTTGAGCGACTTTCAACTCGACCTTACCAAAGGCGATCCATTCCGGAGTGTCGACGAGATGGTCTGAGATGACGTGGCGGTACCCTCCAGCTTGCTTTGCCTCCGCCCAAGACCCTGTGATGTTGATGTCTACGAAGTACATATCCGCGCAATGTCCACCCAACGGGCGCGCATCGGCTTGCACCAGAAGCAATGCGTCGCCAGTGCTCGCTCCGCGGGGAATGTTCAGCAGAACGTGCCTGCCTGGCTTCATCAAGTCGAACCGCTCGCCATGCTCCCATAAAGACGAGAAGGAGGATGAGGAGGAGGATGAGGAGAAGGATGAGGATAAGGATGATGAGGGGGAGGGGGAGGGGGAGGGAGAGGGGGAGGGGGAGGGGGAGGAGGAGGAGGAGGAGGAGGAGGAGGAGGAGGAGGAGGAGGAGGAGGAGGACGAGGAGGAGGAGGAGGAGGGACGAGGAGGAGGAGGAGAAGGAGGAGGAGGAGGAGGAGGAGCAGGATGAGGAGTCTGAGAACTTGAGGGATGAGGATGAGGTGTGAGGAGCGATGAGGCGGACAAAGACGGGGACTAAGAGGCGGGGGAGGGGGGGGATCCGAAGTGGAGAAAGATCGTTGTGATCGTAGTCTGGTTGAGTGGCTGTGTGCGCGTCCAAGTATAACTACGCGTAGAAGTCGGAACATGTTTGCAACTACCTGCCTGAGGTGGTGAGCGTGTCCACCAACGTCAACCATGTTGGAGATCAAATCCTTCACCTTGTAACTCGTAGTGCCGTTGATTTTGTAGGTCCCTGAACCGAGCGAGTCTTGTGTCGACGACAACTCTGCGTACAATTCGTTGGACAACCCAAAGCGGCGAATTATGATTAGAATCCGCGCAGCACCGCACCTTGCTGGACCTCCCCCAGGAAACCATAGACGTGGCGTCAATCTCGCAGTTCGCAGCCCCCAGCGACGGCGTGGTCTGATTCTTGTTAGCGTGGCACGTCGCTGCGCTGGACACACCAGGAAACCAACGACATGGAACCAACACAATAACTCGAAACACAAAATGACAAAGTCAAGGCCGCGTAAGGCCGCACTAGGCTGGACCTCCCCAGAGGCCCACGAACGTGGCGACAATTTCGCAAGCCCCAAAGACGGTGAGGCCTCACTCAAGGTCTGCGGGGGGCTGCCGCACTGCGCTGGGCCCTCTGGGGGCCCGCGGAAGCGGCGACACTTTCGCAGCTCGCAGCCGCGAGGTCTCACTCGGGTCTGCGCAAGGCCGCAGGTACGACCGACCCCCCACGGGGCCCAAACACGTGGCAACGGTTTCGCAGCTCGCAGCACCTGGGGACGGCGATGTAGCAGGCAAGGCACGAGGCAGGACTGAGGTCGCAAGCGGGAAGAGGGGGATGAAGAACGACGGGGATGATAAGGACGAAGGCGGCAGCAGTGCCTGAGCCAAAACGATGGGTTACCCAACGCGCAATATCGTTGGGAATCGCACCTGCTATTTTGTTCAACGCGAACAGCGTCTCGACAAGGTGGCGCCTCGGAGGACGCGGCCACAAACGACAAAATCTGGCCCGCGACTACCCCAAGTGATCTCATCGGAAAATATTCCGCTCCCGAATGTGCGTGATAATGAAATACGGCGTGTCCATATCCACTGCCGTAATCATGGCTTTGCGCACGTCGCGGCGCCTTCTTCCGCATTGGGTACAGACAGCGCGACGCGCCGATGCAACTGGTGGCTACCAACCTGAACAGATGCACCGTCAGTAGCAGGTGCCGTTCGGGACCTGGGCGCGAGTATGCGCCAACGCTGCTCGCACCAAACACCAAGATGCCCAAACGGGCCAACGAGGGGGGAACATTACCTTACATGTCGAGCCCATTCCCCCAACACGGCAGCACCCAAAGGCCACCAGGAGGCCCCAATACGTCCCTGGCATGTCCCACAGAAGCCTCCAAGCGACCCTCAAGAAACTCCTCATGAAGCTCCACAAGGCATCCAACAGGCACTTTGTCCACGGTCCATGCACAGTGACAGAAAGGTCGAGTGCCACTCGGTTCGCCGCTCCCTTTGAATGCAAAGCGGTGCTCGGCGCGCCAAACTTCTAATCTCGCCAGTCCTCTGGGCGTGAATGGTTTAGGGGGGTTCCTCTTCCAACCCCCCTTCTTCCCCTTCGGGGAGGGCTTTGCCCATCCACCTACCCCCTACCACTGGACCTCGACGGGGGGTTCCGCGATCGATTGGAGCGTCCACGGCGGCCTCGGCAAGAAAGCTGGGTCCAGTCTAGCCTTCCGGGGGGGAACCTAATATGGGACCCCCTTGTCTTTTCCTCCATCATGGCCCCACTATGGCCCCCCAAGGCTCCCAGGAGTGCCCCAACAGGCGCCCATGAGGCTCCAAGATACTTCCAATATTCACCCCCGAGGCACCCGAGAAGTTCTAGGAGGCCCGCGGGACAGCCAAAAGACCCCTAAGACGCTCCAAGAGGACGCCAAACAGCTTTCAAGAGACATCCGAAGAGACTTCGAGAGGCCCGCAATAGGCTCGAGAGGCCCGCAATAGGCCTCTGGCCTTTCTCCCCGCCCTGTTGCTCCGGATCAAGATTATCAAGGGTAACATGGGCTGCTCTTGCCGAGGTGGCGTGGACGGGAGAGGGAACCGTCCAGACCGTTACGCACCGGTTTGGACCACGGCATGCCCCTGCAGCACTTCCGTCCGACGCCATTTTGGCTCAAGTGCTGCACGCCACTCAGGGGGGGGATCGCGCTTGCCACAGGTCGCTCGTGGCGCACTCGATTCGCACCTCTCGCCTGTTTGCTGCCGCTCTTGGAGTCCAGCATGACCGGTCGGGCCATGTATCCGGACGATCATGTTATTGCTGGTTGGGCCGATGTCGCGGCGGTCACGGCTTGGGCAGGGGTACCAGAACCGATCCTCAGGGCCTACCTCACGGCGCTGGGGGACAGGGATCTCTCCAGCATCCCAGTGTTGGCAGCCCTGCCGCCCCACATTCACGAGCGGGCCATCGCAGGCCTCAACCCAGCCACGGACATCGACCAGGTGCGGGTTTGCATGCTCGTGAACGCGGTGCGCCTCAAGGTCGGGATGCAGCTGGTCGAGCTCATGCCGCCGCCAGCCCCACCTGCGGGGGCATCGCAGCCTGGTGCAGGGGCGCGGGTTGCAGCACCAGCTCAACCACAGGTCGTGCAGCCGAAGGTTCGCTCGAGTCTCGTGTTGGACCAGGTCAAGGACATGGACATCCCGATGTGGTACCTCGCACTAGGCGATCCGCCGCTCCCGGCGGAGCAAGTCACCGACGCTCAGCTCACCGCGCTGAGCTGGCTGCGCGAGCATGGGCCGGGCCTGTGCGTTGACTTCGGCGTGTGGTGCCCGTGCCAATCGCGGGCCGAGCGCCGTAACAAGTTCGTGGCCCAGATTCTTCAGCCAGACGCTGGGTAGTCGAAGCCAATCTGGCGCCAATCTGGCAGGCCCAATCTGGCAAACGGGGGCAATCTGGCGAAGGGGCCAACGCGAATCCAGTCCGGCGAATAACCCAAATCATCCAGTTTGGCCGGGCCAGATTGGCCCTTGGGGCCCAATCCAATCTGAC